TTTTATCCCGATAAATGTCCATCAAAATCTTTTATTGCGAATTTAAGGATTTTTATAGGAATGGTTGGAAAGGGCAGAACAACGTCTGCCTGGAGAGCTAGTATTATTATATAAAGTCATATATGGATAAACAATGGTTAGTTTCATACAAATAATTTAAACATCGTAAAACAAACCAGGAGATAGATCACCGTCTTTGCCTTCCAAATAATATCTAAAAAATATAAAACACCGCGGTTGTCTACCCGCCTGCTAAACGTGGCTGGCAACTGTGGCAAAACTCCATTATGAGGCAATCTATGGGAAGGCCTATATTTTACAGTGGACGTGGAGTGGAGAATCTTATATTAGTTATTCTTTCAACAATTATAAGACCACTCAATTCACGAATAACCTATCTTTCGTGAAAGTACAAAAGAAGTCTATTGTAGGTTTCAAGAAAGGTATACATACTCGTATGTATAAGTAGGTATAGGGCAAAGTTATATAATAGAACTTTTTATTGTTGCGATTAAGTTCAAATAATTGTTGGATATAAAGTTATCATTATTTGTTGTTCAGTTATCATTTTTCTTACCGCCTGTACACTTGCCATTATAATGAGATTATGCACATGTTCTAAGTTCTATTTATGTATATGTAATATGTAAAAATGTGGTTGGTTGGGCCTTCGCTGTTATGCATTGAGAGTTGAGAGCTATGCATCAATCATCATCTATCTTTCTATCATCAAAATGCAAATACGTTTTTACCTTTGAGGACTAAGATGAAATGCCTCGTCTTGTCACTGAAAGGGGACTTCGGTTCTCTATACTTACCTTACGAACTAAAACGTCATTATGCTGCTATTTCACACTGATATTCTGTGAGAGTCTTTTATCGGGTTAGCAGACTCATTTGTGCCGCAGTCAGAATACACTGCAGCGTGGCTCTACCACATAAATTATTCAAATTACTATTCGTACATAATCCTACATTACAATTTTATATTACTAAAAATAATTTAAGAAAACAGAACAAATACATTAAAACAGCAAAATTGAAGAAGGTGCTGTCTGTCTCCTGTTTCACAATTTTAATTTTTAATTTAAGATACTTTTATTAGGTTGAGCTAACAGCTATGCCAGCTATACATAGCTATAGCACGAAGGGGTCGGCTCGACCGGGGTAGGCCCACACTCTCACAGAATACTAGCGTGAAACAGCAAAATAATGCTGCTGTGTTTCGTATATAGAGAACTGGATACCATTATTGGAAATGAGGCATTCCATGTTAGTCCTCAAGGGTGAAAACACATCTGCATTTTCATTAATAATTTCATCAGGTGTACTGTGTGCTCGTTTGTCACACTTATTCTTTAAAAAAAACATAAAATATATATGCTATTAACCAAAAGTTTAATGACGTTGATTATTATATTATTTACATGCTATAATAAATCACTGTCGTTATTTGCTCGACCCTAACGACTACGTGTTTTCATCAAATAAATATATAAATAAGAAACTGTAAAGAAGTCTAATAATTAATCTTGTAATGTTACGACTATATCGAGGAGCAAATTCCACCAAACTAACTTCTTGTAATAAATAGGGCGACGATCTGAAAACGGCGGCCTTAGGCTGTTATATTATTACAAAGGGGTGCCAAGTACGCTAGCCTAGAGCAGACTGAGTGGCGCCACGGGTAAACAGCTTCCTTTCTTATGTTGCATAACAACGTAATGTGATTGAAGATTGAAAATGAAAAAAGATGAAAAAACATCGTACGATATTATATATTATTTTCAAGTTACTCTTTAATATATCCGTATTTGTGTGTAGTAATTAAGTTAATTCTAATACATATTTAAAAAGTAAAATTATTTAATTAAATAATGAATATATATTGAAATTCGATTCTTTATCTTATTTTGGTAAGTAATATAATGGTAGAAAAATGGTGAATCTCTTAAAAACATCATTAGTTAATAAACTTCTAAATATTTGGCAAGGCGGAGACAATGGGTTAGGATTGATTTCCATTCAGGAAGTTACTTGAATTATTCATAGCACTATAAAAATTTATAACAGAAGTAATTTATATTTAAATTATATTTCTTTCAAGGCTTCTTCTTTATTTATTATATTTATCTAGTTTTTTTTAATATTTTATGTAAGTTATTTAATAATTAATCTAATAATTTATATAAGTAATATTATTAATGCAGTATTTATTAGTGATAGTCTCTTTATAAAAAAAAAAGTATGTTTACTTTATTACTTAGTTGCTACTCGTACCATGCATCTTACACCGATCGTCGCTCCATCTAGTCATAAAGTGTGAAATCCAATTTTGAGCTAAATCGTGCGGCTTGGGATAGACCTACGACCAGACCACTGCCACAGACTGATCATGATGATTATTTAAGGGTTGATTTAGAACCGTAGCTCATCAACAGCGTGCTCGCCCTAAGTTACATAATACTAGAGAAACAAGGGTTTGATACAGGTCTCGGCGTCATGCATTATGACATTCCTATGGAAGCCTGTATTCTGCAGTAAACTTTTGAAGGACTATAATGTTGTTGCTGTTGATGATACCCATTCAATAATGAGAAGCGGCCGTTGCCTTATAATTGATTGTTTAAATGAATTCACCATCATGACATACGAGTATGTGTGATCAACGAATCGAGAACAGGAAATCATTATTTAAGTTTTGCATATTAGTTTCTTTAACGGGCCTAGAGCAGTTGATAATTTTTTACACCGCCACAACACAGATCAATATTAGTTACTATAATTTTTATATTTTAAACGAACTCTTACTTCTTAAAGACTTGTTTGTTTTATTTGGTATTATAATTTTTTTTATTATTTGGTATTATAATAGTACCAAGGCTGGATTAGGAGTTGAATGGAAGTGCCATAAATTTTTTGTAATGCCCAACATATAGCGGCATTCATAAAATTTCGACAAAATGGGACAAGACTGATATTCCACAACATTCCTTTAAGTTGATTCAAATTCTTCCAACTTAAGCGAAGTCTACGATCAGTAGTGAACTCTGTAAAACAATATAATTAAAGAAATATTAAAAAGCCATAACGTATTTTTAGGATAAAAATACGTTACTTACGTTATATACTTTAAAGTGGCCTTATATAATAATAATTCAAATCTCTGAGGCACTAAATGAAGGAACAATTTTTTTTAATTCCCTAATCTGTGTATAATTTTTTATCAAAGGCTTTGTGATGCAGCTTGCAGTAAATGTAGTTACTAAAATTAGATAAGGGTCGATCTGAAGGCTGGATCGGCGCGGGTCGCAGGGCGCACCGCGCGATCTCGTAATCGATTACCGACACCGCCCACGAACCACCTCTTTACACTCGTTCTAAAAATACAGTTTACTGTATATTTATTATTCCAACTTGAAAATATATTTTACTTTTATGTCTTTCAAATGACCTTCAAAGAACATTGGCATAAAGTAGGTTTATTAACCTTACACCACGTCTAAGCGATACGACGAACTTCGGTTAATGAACTTGACCTAAGTTAATGATTTCTCATATTTACGCGGTGACTACATATTGATAAAAACGAAATTTAAGAATTTTATCACCTTAAATTAAAGCTTGTTTTTAAATCTTCACGTTTGGTGTGCATTAGCCCGTAATTATAATTATATTATTTATATTATATAAGTAAATATTAACTATCAAATTGGTATACGCAAAAACTGTACGATAGCGGTTTAAAGGACTCAAGTACCGTTCGTTACTTCGTTTGTTCTCGTTTAATTTTTTTTTTACCATACCTATGGGAGAAGGTGATGCACCTTTTCCCATAGGTATGTTAAAAATAAACTAAACGAAATGAAAATATCCCTACGGTGAGAGAGTCCCACAAACCGCAGTGGAAATTTTTTGACTGATGAGGATTTAAAAAAAACTCGTTTACTACTTTGGCTCTTGGTGTATTATTAAATGGACATTCCTATAGCACAGGACGAACGTTTTCGATCACTGTTTCACTTTCCACATCTGCTCCTACTCAGATTCGCCTCACAAAGATGCTTTAAAAGCAGCTTTGGCCACGGAAGATTTACGTGTTTCGATAATCAGCAAGATTCAATGTTACCTATGTCACGTTCCCTCATATAGAAAGTGATTGTAAAGGGCTTGGTCCGCCATTGGTCGATTGATCGTTGTTGATCGTGATAGTCTGAATTTGATTTCCTGCTCAATTTCTATTTCTCCACGCTCAGCTGTACGAATCATCTTCCTTATAAGTCAAATAATCGGCCAAGTGCGAGTCGGACTCGCGCATGAAGGGTTTCGTACCATCGTAATACACGTTTCTAGTAGGGTAGCCCCTTTTAATTTTTAATTTATTTTAATTTTCCTTATTTTTTGTTATAGCGGCTACAGAAATACACATTCTGTAAAAATTTCAAGTGTTTACCTATTATGGATCATGAGTTACAGCCCGCTGACAGACGGACGGACGGGAGGACGCACAGCGGAGGCTTAGTAATAGGTTGGTTATCCTTTGGATACGGAACCTGTGTCGCCTGATTACCGTCGCCGGTGTTGTTTTCTTTGAATATTAATATAATATAGGTTTAAAGAAAGTGTAAAAAATTTACTAAATGTACCAAGCTCACATGTATGTCGCACACGGCAGCCAGCTGATTCATGGACGAAGCAATAGAACACTTTAACCAAATTTCACATACTGGTAAAGGGAAGCAGTAATATCAGTTCAATTACATTTACACGGATCGGTATTTGTTATATGACTTATAATCAGAGACCAGGTCCTTCGACAGCTACCTCTTCCCTGCATTTCTCTTAGACACTCACAAAAGATTATTTTCTGTCGCCACCACGGCGGCTGTCTTCAGTTCAGAAACTTATAAAGTGTGTTTCATTTTCAGAGGTATACACATTAGCGGCGGGAGCGGCGGCGGAGGAGGAGGCGTCGGCGCGCGGCGCCATGAGCTAGCGGCATGGTGGGCGAGGGGGCGAGCCGCGGCGCGCGCAGTCACGTGGGCGACTCGCCCCCGCGCGCGCCCATGGGCTTCGCAGCGCCCGCGCACGATGCGCCGCTCGACCGCGGCCTGGCGCCGGCGCCCGCGCCCGCGCTCGCCAACGCTGCGCTACAGCGGGCGCACTCCAGGTACTTCACACCCTAAACCTAAATAAACGCTTACTCTAAACGGAATAACGGGGCTTCTTTTGGAAATTAAAACTTCTTTAAAATCTTTGTGATTTAAAACTCGATGAAAAGAAAAAGAAACAAATATATACATATGTTGGATTAAGCCTGCGAGAGAATGAGATAGAATACAATATTTAGTTTCCTACTATTTCGGTCTCCTCTATGTGCAGTGTTTTACAGATGATTTATAAAACTTTTAACTGTAAAGGCACATCGAAAACCGTTGAAGCGTGCTATCGCTGGACTGACCCGAGTGAAATATAATTTCTATAAAAACTTCAAAATCGCCGTCATAAGGTCTAAAATTGCGTAGCCCCCGCGACGGTTAAGATCGCTTAGAAATCGCTTAGAAGTTTAAAATATTTTTAAAAAATTACTGATTTTAGTAATCAAAATAATGAGCAAGTAAATTTTGAATATTGATGTTATGAATATATTTGAGTGGTTCCCAAGCATATAGATTAAGTAATTTCGTTGTAATTTCAACTATAGTGATTTTTAGAGGTGTTTTCGCAAATAATTATGATCGAGTCAAAATGTTACAATCGTGTTTTTGAACAAGCAAATTCAAGATAAAGACATGAATTTACCCATATCAAAATTGCAATTTCGTTAGGCGTGTCATACTCCTATACTATTCGGTGAAAGGAGGTGCATTTTTTCGCGGTGTCGTCTTAATATAAACAGTAAAAAAACTTAACAAATTTATTTTAAAATAAAATTGACTATAATGAATAAAATTATCTTTACAAATCCGTTCATCGCTCTCTACGATTTCATAACATATCGATTTATATTAAATTTGTCGTGTTTAGGCCATCTATTTTACGTACTACCCTGAGAGCACGGGACTGCAGCACCGCCCAAATTTCGACGGAATCAAAGGCTTTTTCATAGTCTACAAAGGGCAGACGCCATAGTAGTAAATTGTACTCCTCGGGCTTCTGTACAATTTGCTGAAGGGTATGTATGTGGTCTATGGTGCTAAAGCCTTTTCGGAAACCGGCTTGTTCAGGAGGCTGGAAGTCGTCGAGTCTGCGTGCGAGACGATTCGTAATGATTCTCAAAACAGCACGTGGCCGCGACTCAGAGTGGAAATTGGTATGTAGTTCTTAAAGAGAGCGTTATCGTCTTTCTTGAAGATCAAGACCACCGCACGTCTGCTTCACGCTTCCGGTGTAGTGCCACAATGGAGGACGAAATTAAAGAGCTTTCAGCTTCGACAGTTTTTGAAGCCTTGGTTCCGCTCGATTGCTTCTTCAATACGAGCTGTATTGAAGTTGCGTTAGTTTCGCCGCATGCATTTGGAAATCTGTCTGTTCAGTCTTGCAGAACTTAGCTCCGACCGCAGTTCCTCGGTTTCCACGACCTTATCATTCATATCGTCCACTGCATTGTAATCTTCTAGGCACTGAAAACGGTTTTGTAGCTCGAGCTGAAAGGTTTCTGGACTTTGGATTAGAGCACGAGGGGGATTGAGCATTGACTTCATTAGACGAGACCTCTTCAAATTAACGTTTAGGTTCAGTTTTCCTCTGACCATTCGGTCACTGCTACCAGTTTTTAGCCTCGCGATCACTGAGAAATCACTGAACAGTTGTCGTCTGGTCGTCATAATCAGCATCAGAAGTCGGCAAGCTGCTGGCCCTATCCCCGTCCCTATAGCGATGGTAAGTTGACTGTCGGTATATCGAAGTGCTGAAGTGTTTGTACTGTAAGGCTACGATGGTTTTCCGAGTACCGAGGGCAGCGTTCAGGAAATTACAGCATATCTTTTTCTCAGGTATACCTCAAAACTTGAAAACAAGACTGTACAACCAGTGCGTATTTCCAGTGATGACCTATGCAACTGAGACGTGGTCCTTCACTGCTGGCCAAATGAGAAAGCTCAGCTCGCTCAGCTCGCTATGGAGAGGACTATACTCGAAGTTTCTCGCAGTACAGTCCGCAATACAACCAGAGTGACCGACATAGCCCAACGGATTAGTAAGCTGACGTGGCAATGAACCGGCCATATAGCTCGAAGAACCAAAAAAGTTTCTCGAGTGTTGGCCTTGTACCGGCGGACGAAGTTTTTTTTTATAGGATCGGGTGACAAACGAGCACACAGTCCACCTGATGGTAAGTGGTTACTGTGACCCATAGACATCTACATCTATCCTCAATAAAGACTCAAGATGCAGATGCGTTGTCACCCGTGAGGACTAAGATGGAATGCCTCTTTGCCAGTAAAAAGGGTCTCCGGTTCTCTACACTCACCATATGAAACACAGCAGCGTTAAGCTGCTATTTTACGCTGGTTTTCTGTGAGAGCATGGTCCTTCCCCGTTCGAGCCGACCCATTCGTGCTACAACCATAATATAGCTGCAGCATGGCTCTACCACGTAGAAGAAGTGTAGGGCGTCCCCTACTAAGAAATGCAGGTAGTCGATGGATGCAGGTGGCTCAAGACCGTGCTTTATGGCATTCCTTGGGGGAGGTCTATGTTCTGAAACGGATTTGTGTGGCGGCGCTGTCGTAACTCCACAAGCGAAATACAACGAAACCTAACTCGCGCTATCAAAGTTCCAAAGTAAAAACAGTATATATAGAATAGCTCCGAACTACCACTCGAAGCGTTGGCCGCTCCCCGGGCCGATCACATTGCCCGGCGGGAGATCTCCCCTTTTCCTTACCATGTGACCCCGACGTGATGTTGGGGCAGTGATGAAGGGCTGTAATGATGATGAAATGGCTTTAACTATAGAATGAAGTACCTACATTTTACTCAGAGCAATTTTGCTCAAAATTTTCGAAAGGTTTCACTTCTACCGCGTGTGAACTGCAAACATGGTTTTTTGTTTATTTTGTTAAATCAAAATTATTAAAATTGATTAAATTCTCTAATCCAAGCTCATGGAAGTCAGCCTTAGTCCACCCGATTCCTAAAAAACGTAACCGCTCAGATCCGTCCAACTACAGGCCTATCGCCATCACCTTCTTGTTCTCTAAAATAATGTAATCCACTATTAACTGCCAACTCATGGGATACCTTGAAAAGCATCAGCTGTTTAGTGGCCTTCAATACGGTTTCCGTCGAGGTCGCTCAGGTGAAACCGTAATCTTCTTGAGTACCTGACTCATCGATGGGTGGAGGCAGTCGAGAGCAAGGAGAGGTCCTGGCTGTTAGTTTGGACATAGCGAAGGCCTTCTGATCGGTATGGTCACCAAGCGCTTTTTATAGGATAAGGGTGACTAACGAGCACACAGTCCACCTGATGGTAAGTGGTTGCTATGGCCCATAGACATCTACATCTATCTTCGATTACGAATCAAAATGCAGATGCGTTGTTACACGTGAAGACTAAGATGGAATCCCTCGTTTCCAGTAAAAAGGGTCTCCGGTTCTCTACACTCATCATACGAAACACATCAGCGTTTAGCAGCTCTTTTACGCTGGTATTCTGTGAGAGGGTGGTCCTCCCCCGGTCGAGCCAACCCATTTGTGCTACAACTATACCAAATATATATCTGTAGCATAGATCTATCACGTATCAAATAGTCCATAAGAGGAAAGCTTCTTTTGAAGCTTTCCTCTTATGACTTCCCGAGAAATTATGCAACTGAGTTACGAGTTTTCTCGTAGATCGGAACCTTAAGATCGTAGTCGACGGTGCAAGCTCCGACTCAAAGCCTGTAAACGCTGGTGTTTCATAAGGCTGCATGCTACCGTCTACCCTTTTCCTTCTGCTTGTCAATGATATTTGCATACTCTAATACATCATCTACATAGTCTGAAGTCGTCTTTGTTAAACAAAGTCTCTGACTGGGGGCGATTAAATTTTGTTCAGTTTAATCCCCAAAAACATAGCATAGTGTGCTCAGTAGGTTGAGACGATATTTCGTGCCAGCCCACCACTTGCATCTTTACAAAGCGAGGTCAGGGCACTCCTGTATCAACACCTTCCAATTGATCGTATTCAATGGAGAGTGGCCTGAATCTTCAACGACCAAGTTCTTTTAGGTAAGCTTGATAGATTGGTCTTGCGAAAAGACGTTGCAACTCGATGCATTTTCTGTCACATATACCACGGGCTCAGAACAATTGTTAGCAATAATTTCAACTGATAAATTCCACCATCATACACTGCGATGGAACACAAAATTTCATACTCATCATATCGATGATTGGTGGTCAAGGCAAGGCTCTACCACGTAAAACTTATCTATGTTGTGATTAACTCGGAATTTTCTGCCTCGTACGACAACACTGTGGAATTTACTGTCGCAAGCAGTTTTTTCAGACCGATACGATTTTGGGACCTTTAAGAAAAAAGCTTACTTTTTCTAAAAGGCCGGCAACGCACATATTGTTGCAGATATTCATGGACGACTTTCATCACTTACCATCAGGTGAGCCGTATGCTCGTTTGGCTCCACTTACATAAAAATGTTATATATATATATATTGGAAATTCATCCATTCTTTATTTGTTACTTGTTTATGTGAACAAACGGAACAAACTTGTGTCTGAAGTCGAGTCTTTGCTGGACAAAGTCTCGGATTGGGGGCGACTAAATCTAGTCCAGTTTAATCCTCAGAAGACACAAGTTTGCGCGTTTACCGCTAAAAAGAACCCCTTTGTCGTATCTCCTCAGTTTCAAGGTACTCCCCTTGTTGCCTCAGCCAGTATCGGAATCCTCGGCGTCGACATATCGAGTAGCGTGCAGTTTCGTGGTCACTTGGAAGAGAAGGCCAAATTGGCCTCTAAAAAGCTTGGCGTGCTCAGCAGAGCGGGACAGTATTTCATGCCGGCTCAACGCCTGCAACTTTACAAGGCGCAGGTTCGGCCTCACATGGAATACTGTTCCCATCTCTGGGCTGGGGCTCCCCAGTGCCAGCTTCTTCCACTTGACCGCATCCAGCGCAGAGCGGCTCGAATCGTCGACGACCGAGTCCTTTCCGATCGGCTCGACT